TTTCAGCTTATTCATTTGGGTCATGACTAACATGAGGATGGCATGTAGGTTCTTAGTTTCACATGTGTTGTAATGCAGGTGATCATTTTACACACAAGTACTGCACAGGTAAAAGAGAATTCCTAGCTGCCAAGATTACGCTGCTTTAATCTTGTCTAGTTTGAAATGATTCTAACAACAAAAAGGACGGCTTGCTTATAGGATGAGTTGGGTAGACAGTCTCTCACATTCTGGAAAGTTGACAAAACTGATCACATCATCCATTTATTAGCTGTTTGGAAGCTTTTGATCTTATTACAACATCTTCCTCAGTGTGTCTGGTTGTCATGGAATAGTCCTGCAGTTGTTCAGACATATAATAAAATATAATATTTTTTTTTTTCTGAAAATACTGCTCTCTGTGTTGTCAGAGAGGGTGATCATTAGTTGAGCAGATCGCTGAACTAATGAGCAAGGGAGCAGGGAGGATGGTTGCAGGGTCATGCAGTTGTTTTGATCTTTTCAATAAGTTGATTAGAGAAGCCACTTTGAGTTTCAGTCTCTGAAAACATATTATAGTTCCATCTTCACTCACAGCACTGGGCTGATTTTACAGAATGTGTTGGGGATGGTACTGAGGACTTCACTTGCCAGATGACAACTACAGTGTTTACTGGACATAGCAAATATTCCAGTGGCATATTTTTGAATTTGCCTCATAAACAAGTTGTTTTTTTTATTTTTATAAGTAAACTCATCTTTCAATTTAAAAAAATGTAAAATGTTTTCATAAAGTGGAAGCCTCTAGTTGATTTCTGCCATAGCAGTGAGTTCGTTGTCATCATTAGAGGAAGATGTGACTTATTTGCTCTTGCCTGGAGATGTTCTGTAGGTTTTCACTGACATTTTCATCAATTCGGAGTCTCTACCGCCCTCCTCTGGTGCTTCAGCTGAACTGCACCTTTCAAGACAATGAGAACATGGCTAATGCAGGTCTCTGCATGTGAAAGAAGGCCACAGCGAGTGGCCAGTGAGCACACCCCTCTTTTGGTACACCCCCCACCCTCCAGCTATTGTTTTGAAATACACTCATAGAGGGGGTAGTTATCACTGAAAGGCTGAGGTTTAATTGATTCAGCTGCCTCCTCCCACAGTGAGGGTTTGCGTGCTCTGGGACAGGGACGTGTGCCGGCGCATCTGTGCCCTAATGGATTTCTGACGCTATGCGACGTCATGTGATAAGCTCAGAGAGATGGAGCAGACCACACTTTGCTCCTGCATGTGTTTCGTATGATACAGAGCTAGACATAAAGCACAATAGTTCATCTCCCTTGTCCTGAATGATTTTGAGTGGGAGCAGTTGAGAGGCCTGTGTCAACCACAGATGGCTCTAGCCGTTATCCAAAGCTGAGTGGTTAGAGGACTGTTTTGATAACCAGTCCTCACTGAGGAATTTGGTTGCGTGTTGTCCCAGCATGATGGTGGCTCTGACACAGATGTCTGGGTTTGCAGGCGCTGGCCTCGGAGCTGGAGGTGTCCAGAGCTGGAATGTGCTGCCTTGTAGTCGAGTGCATGTGTGCGCTGCCGCGGTCTGTGGGGAGGGCGCCTGTTGAGGTTAACACAGTGAGAGGTCCTTATGTAAACTGCCACATGTCTTTCTCCTTGAATAAAATGGACAGTATGTTTTGTTTTTCTTGGACGAGGAATGGCAGCAAATTAGTTTAGGAATTTTTTTTGGTTTTTGTTTTCCTAACATTTTTTATCTCCTTCCGGCTAAATCTCTGTCACTTGACAAGCGAAATTCATCCGGCCAGGATATCTTGTTTATTAATTAATTAATTGATTAAAACACATTCCCACCTAAGCATGAGGATGTTCTTCTCTCACGTTGTCCCAGATGTGTAAATGCTCCTTTTAAAGGGAGGGGTGTCTTTGCCTTGTTTATCAGCCCTTAGATGTCATATTTACCCCATTTTAAAAATGTCTTATGTGCTTTGTTTTTTTTGCCTTACCCCTGGAAAGAAAGAGAGGAAAGCCATATAAACATGGAGCACTGCATTATGAAACTGATTACTTGACAAGCTCTTGACTTCAGCCATTGGATTCAGTGTGCCCTGCCATAGTGTCATATACAGTTATTTCTGTACGTTTAAATGTCCTCTGCACAGATTTAACATTTACCTGCTTAAAGTTGCTTTCCCTTAACACTGTTGTCATAGGATAATCCGATTTAAAAGAGCACTGAACAGTCAACACGTGGAAAAACTGGATTAAAAGATCGTGTATGAAACCTGTTGTGGAGATAAACTCTGAAACAACAAACCGCTTAATTCACTTTCAAAAAACATCCTGGCAGTCTGTCACTTCACGTGAATAGTGTGCTTGCTTCTTCCCATGAGTATGAATGGGCTGAACCCCACCCCTCGGTTTGTCAATAAATGACGAGCGAGCTTTAACACATCAGCTCGGCATTACACAGTGGACTAGTGTGGACGAAAACTTTGGAGAGAACATGCGCTGCAAAATGAGCTACAGTCTGCCCTGCTCCCCGGTAACTTCACCCTCACATTCAGGACGTTTGCTGTGCTACAGGTCCAGATGTGGAAGGTAACTGACTTATCTATACTCTCTGCGATGTGCGTTATCGACATATTAGTTAATTCACCTATGGCATGTGTGCCTGCTCGGATTTGTAGTTGCATTGCCCCTCTTATTGTGTGCGTAATTTTATTTGTTCTTGTCATTTACGATCTGTATTTCAGAGTTAACTTTGAATTTATAGAAACTTTAGTGGCGTGTTCCTACAGTTCCAGCTCACGTGCTTCTTTATATGGACTTCAGACGTGCAACTCTTCCCCAAACTGCAGCTGCGTGTTAAAGGCTCTGCTTTGACACGATAGACATCCAGTCTGCTCAGTGGCCATTTGCTCTCCCTCTGTGCGCTACATGTGCTAAGTGCTTTGCCATCAGCTGTTTGGTATGGAGGCCACTCTCACCTGTCCGGTCGTGTCACGCAAGCATGTTTGTTTTGGAGTGTGCCATGTCTTCGGTATGTGTTCGTAGTACGTGTTCCTCGAGGTGCCCACGGCGCAGCGTAGGCTACGTGCGCTCCAGCACGCATGATGGACATGTGGGATACACCCTGAAGCTCCATGTTGTTGTGGGTCACAGTGCTGTACAGTTATGACATTTTGAATATAAAGGTATATGTGAATCTGAAAGTGTAACTGCGGTTACTGAACTTGGTCTTCCATGCTTCACGTTTAGGTCTACTTTGCTGCTAAAACTTGAACTGTGCTTTCCTCCGATCCTGCCTACTTCGGGCTGGTATACAGCTCTTACACGGTTTTTGTTTTGATTTGCTTTAGTTTAAAGCCCCTTCCAGGTGTTACCAGAGGCCATCCGCACATCGTGTTCCCCGTCAGATTCATGTCAGAGCACCTTCTAGTGGCACGAACAAGCACCGGTCCTTTGTTTTTGCATCCACGTCTCAGCAGGGAGGTGATTGTGCAAGACAGCGTTTCTGGAGGATAACGTTAAGTGTAGACACAAATAAAGATGCTATTTTTTCCCTTTCAGTGAGGTAAACTCCGAAACATGACACGGTTTTGTTGAATGAGGATCTGTAGCGCGCAGTAAGTAGATGGGCTTTGTGTTTGAAGCGGGATGTGGTGGTTTGCTTTCCTTGTCGGGGAAGGCCAAATGAAAACAAATGATGTTAGAAAACGTTTAAAGAGAGGTGTGGGGTTTTCACCTCCCCGCACAAGATAATAAAATGTGTTTATACAGAGAAAGGGGAACAATGAGATGTTGGCTTATCGGTGTAAGACGATCGCACACAACAGCCGCACCAGTAGCGCAGCTCCTGCCGGAGAGGAGCCGCTTTCCCTGGCTGAGATCTGGTTTCATCTCAGTGGAGTCATGCCTGGATAAAAGCTGATATAACTGAAATGTCGCTCTTTAAATGGTCTCCGGGAGATTTGTTATCGCGGCTCCAGTCGTTGTTTTCTCACGGAAAGATTTTAGTGGAATGCTTTGGATATACATCGCTTCTTCTTCTGTGGCTACATCATTTTTAGACAGAGTCACGGGGTCACCTGTTTATGTGTATGCTGTCAGACTGGTGATCCATGCATGGCGCTGTCGTTAGTGTGTCCTTTGTTATTACCAGGCTGTTCACTGTTGAACACTTGGCTTGATGAGACGATGCTTTTCTTAGTTGACTGATTTAGGGGACGTTTATACTTTGTACAGTTTAATAATGTAATTCAGTATTACTCTTAGTAATGATGATACGTGGGACTGTTTGTTGATGACAATATTGTCAGTATTTAGGGTTTTTTTAGATCCATCTTAATGTCTGGTGTCTGAAAACCACAGAAACTCAGTTTATTGATGTTAGACTTGGTTATCTGCAACTTGGCTTAGCTGTAGCTTAATGCAGAAGTTTATATACAGTAAATAAGGGTTTTGTGGACAAACAGGAGAGTGACTTGTGCTCCAGGTGGTTTTCTTTTTATTTTGGCTGTAGTCCAGGTTGTAAAATGCATTGAAATGTAATTACTTCTTGACCAGCTTAAAGGCCATGTTGGGAGCTGCCCAGCCCAACAGTGGAGAGCGTTAACATGTGACACTTTTTGCTTATCACCTACTCCCTCTCTGGAGTAGTGATTAACATATCATTACTTTTGTGCAACTTTGCCTTTAGTTACATGTAACAGTGGAAGTTGAAGGTTTTTATCTTTGACACTTCTAAAAATGGTATATTTCTATTTTGATGTGCATGTTTATGGAAAATGATTCCATCCCAGATCTGTTTATCTCCTAACCCACATGATGCAAAGTAGTCCGGGAGAGTTTATTTTTACTTCCAAAGGACAATGAAATCTCTGAGGTCATGTTCAGCATGTCAAGGACCGGCTTCGGCAATTTGTGAATGTGAACAAGCTGATATTAATCTGAAGCACGTGGTAAACACGAGATGAGTATCTCGTGGTAACTCTTGCTCTTTCTCTCCACAGTGCATCCGGTGCCAGCGTCGTCGCCATTGATAACAAAATTGAGCAGGCAATGGTGAGTTTGCCCACATGTAATAGTTGCAACAAATGTGGTAATCATACACACTCTCTGCAAGCCTGTACAGTGATCTGTTTGATGAGCTCACCACTGTTGACACTTGGTGAGTGATGCAACTGTCTCATAGACAGGATGAACATGACAAATGGCCTTTCATAATCTTATTGTTGCTGACGGAGTTGGACAGGTCACCTCCTGAAAATGCAGTTGCAAAACCGCCACAGCAATGACTCCCCGGCAATGACCCCCCAGTGCTAAAGATAAAGCCAGAAAAAGATCACACGTTGCCACATGCTCAGAAATGATGTTTGTCCTTTGTTTCTTTTTTCCTTGTGTAATTTGCTGTGTTTTTATAAACTATTTATGGTCTCTTTTTTTTTTTTTTTTGAGCGTTTTGTGTGCTAATATTACTCTCTCTGTTCTTGTCTTCTCTCAGGACTTGGTGAAAAGCCACCTGATGTATGCTGTTCGTGAGGAGGTGGAGGTGTTGAAGGAGCAGATCAAGGAGCTGTACGAGAGGAACTCGCTGCTGGAGCGTGAGAACGCCGTGCTGAAGTCGCTGGCCAACTCGGAGCAGCTCAGCCAGCTGTCCAGTCAGCTTAATCAGAGCAACAACACGTCGCCCCCGCTGCAGCAGCAATACCCGTTTGTCACAAACACCCCCGCCTTGGCTCACCATGAGGGAAATCAGAGCATCTCCCATCAGCCCAACATCAGCTCAGCGTGATACCCCTTCCCCCGATTCATACGCTCACATGCCCACCTCCTTTCAGACAGGAGTGGTAGAACCTGTTAGAAAGACAACAGTTACTACCGTCCCTTTAGCTCCATAAAACAAAAGCCTCAGCTCTGCATTCAGTGCACTCCATTTGGGGAAAAATCAACAACAGCAACATCTGTTTGTCGCCGAGAGCCATGCTTTAGTGTGTGCACACTGCCGGCACCGAGCCTCCTCGGTATTAAGACATTTATCACCCATTGAAAAGTCTTATTCTGGCTCTGTGTTTGGCTGAAAAAGGAGGGGCGGGGGAGCTGGAGCACACCATAAAACTGCATGCTGTTCTTGTGCAGGAGATGAGGTCAAACAGCACACAGAGCTCGATTTGTTGGGGCAGCAAAGTGGTGGAAGAGGGTGGTGCCACTCTGCGAGGGGCCAGCGTAGTGACGAGGGTCCTGTAAAACACCCAGCAGGGGTGTCCTCCCGGTATCCCCTCTCCACATCACTCCGGGGCTGGAAAAGGCCAGAAAGCCGAGGGAAAAGAGGGGAAAATGGTTCGTCCTCCCCGAGCAGAGGAAGACACCAGCAGGCACTTGGGCTTGTTATTTGCTGCAACAAAGGCATGTGTTGTTTTCTCAGAGCTACCATACTTTGACATGGATCATAATACTTTTTCATTAGTTCAATTCTAGTATTTGCATTTATTTATTTCATGGCTGCTATTTTCATTCAGTAAATTAGCAATGTAATAGAATACTTTCTAAAAACAAAAAGAACCCTTTCTCTTTGGTCCTTTGGTATTTTAGAAACTGTCACGTATTAAATTTGTTAGCAACAAGTGGAGCTCAATATGTAGGCATTAAGTTCCATTAATTTCTTCTTGTGAAAGAGTGCTGACACTAAAGCCAAGCTTACATTAGGTGAAATTCAGGTTGAATGTATATTTTGTAAAGTATTAAAGATAAGGAGTGTTTGTGCAGAAGAACCTGTAAAGATATGAAACATGTGATGGAATGTTTTGAAAAGAAAATTAACTTTTTCTAGACTTTATCAAAACAAAAAATATAAATGAATTGTGGAGGTTTGGTTGGGGAAATGAAAAGCTGTGAAAATTGTTCAACCTACTTTATAACCAAAGATGCAAAGCTGTGTAAGTCTCATTTTTTTCCCTTCATTTTTTTTAAATGCACATTTTTTTCTACACCCTCCTTTATATTTTGTTGCTGTTTTGCATGTTCTGCATGAGCTATAATCTGATCACTGTCTTACCTCATGTTTTTACCCAGCACTCTTAATTTTCCATCAACTTATCAGTCTGTGAATGATAGAGAGGATTTATAAACGAGAAACGGAACGATGGGGCAGAGATGTTGCAGTAAGTTGTGGAGGGTAAGACTAGAATAAGGATTGGACATAGATGGAGGGAAGGGCCTTGTGCACAAATTTAAAGGAGCCATTTTTTTTTCTTTCCTATGTTGAATTCTATATGCAGAGGAGACGTTTAGTTACTTTGCAAATTGTAATGTATTAAATTTCATTTGTATTGTACTAACACTGCTTACGAAGAAAATATGGGACAACATCCACACACAACAAAACAAACGATGGAAACTATTAAACATTTCACACCTTAAAGTTGGAACACAGTTGATTATTGTATGAGCATATTATGGGTTGTCCTACTTGTGTCATGTCTTTGTGCCACCATCTGCTGTCGTCAGAGGGTTTGTTTTCTTTCTCTGCGGCTTAGAACCAAACCAACATGCTTGGTAATTATGCAATCAGTCATCTTTCTGCAGGATGGACTGATTTCTTTTTTGTTTCTGTTTTCAAATTGACTTAAACCTTCTATCTTTAGAGATTTTTTTTCTTTCATTTGAAGGAGATGCTGTGTACATGCCAAGTGTACTGTATGAAATTGATCACTGAGCCTTGGAGAAAGTATCTTAACGACGCCCTTGTAATGTGCTGTTCATATGATTTTAGTTTTCAGTCAAAAATAAATTACTGTTTTATTAAGAGAACGTCTAAATGTCTTTTTATTCCCATCCCACACCCTTTTTAGAGAAATGTGGGTCTACAAAATACAGAACGTTTTCAATTTGTTCCCAGCTATTTTAGAATTAGCAAAAAACGGAGAGGTGTTACTCTGAAAGTGTCCCAGTAAAGTGTGACAGTGGGTCGACACGCACAACACTAGGACCCTGACACAGCTCAACAGAATTTGCCCATCATGCATTTTATTATTTTGTATACCTGATCTTACTGTGATGTCACAATAACCACAAATCTCTGCTTTCACAGCCTGGAATGCATCATCCTGCAAGTAGAGAAAGAAAAGGGTCCCATATTTTGTAGCTTTGTAATTGAAAGGGTTTGCCTTTCAAAATAAACGTTAAGGCTTCCATGTGCATTAATCCAAGATTTGATCAGCTGCATTTAAACAGGAGGCATTTCTGGATATACCCATTGTAGAAGTGTATGTCGCCTATCAGAGAAAAGAATTTTATGAAACAACCATAGTACAGTACATTGATTCAAGTACATTTACTCAAGTACTGTACATCTGTTCTTTAATATGAAAAATACTACTTTTACTTACATAAGTAAAGGATCTGAGTATTTCTTCCATCACTGTAAAGGTGATGTAAAAGATTGGAATTACAGCAGCATGTTGACACAGATAACTGTCACGGTTTTATGTGACTGACAAGACTTGTTCCAAAACGCAGAGCCTGCCATAAAATGGATGTTCAGAAAAAAAACATAACAGCCACTTTCCAAGAAGGATTGAGTCAGAGTACTGTCCACTCCCTGCCTGACTTAAATGTCCTTTAAAATGTTCTCTTTTGAGGGTAAGGCCCCTATTTTTTATAACCTGCATCATTTGTATATCACCAATGAATACTTTGAACCTTTTTATCTATAACCAAAACAACAAAATAAGAAGAAAGAATCTCTGGCAGTTTGGTCTGCATGATGTTGTACTTATTTTACATTTCGCTGGAGTAAACACCAGCTCCTGTGGTTTCTGTGTCTACAGGTATCACCATGTAAATCCAATTGAGAGTTTTACAGAGTTAATTGCAATCTAATCAACTCTCATTATAATGTATAAGACGCTGGGGGGGGGGGGCTGACTCTTGGATTGCCTCAGATTTTTATTTGATCTAATTTTTATTTTTTCATGTCCAATCTGAAAAACTCAACTGGACTAGGTTTTTAGGTCAAAGATGTTTCACCTCTCATCCAAGAGGCTTCATCAGTTCTGCCCGACTGACTAAAAACCTAGTCCAGAAGTTTTTTTTCAGCTTACTATGACCTGGATGGCTGAGAATCTGCACGGACATGTTTCATGTCCACTATACTGTTAAAAGGTTTTTTCCCCTCTCAGCTGAACGTTACACTCCTTGCCAGGGAATGTTGAAACACTGTTATAACAGGAACAAAAGACGCCACAGGAAACTGAGACACTTGTTGATAGATTTTATTCAACCTTTAGGCTAAATAAAGGCTTCTGAGCAGATTTTATGACACATTTCTTTTTCCATGTTTGATATACTGCATGCTACATGTCTGCTAAACCTTATGAATGCAGAACATTTTGATTTAACTTGTTGAATAAGACAACAACAACTGTCACCTCTGTGAAGGTACAAATTAAAAGAACAAATTTCAAAAGCAGTGTTCGGCTCCTGCTGACACAGTGTGGCAAACTAAAGAACTGGATGAACCAGGCTTTTTGTCACTGTGACAGATCTTCCTATTCACCTACTTTTTACTCATCCTGTGTGTTCATGCTCCAGCATGTTGCAGCTCTGAGTCACAGTGACTCATACAGGGTTTTTGGTAAGAACAGGGAGTGTTCCGAGCGTCACAGTCGGTAAGGTGAAGCTGTCACAGTCGGTAAGGTGAAGCTGTCAATGAAGACTGAAAACTACAGTTGGGGGGGGGTTCAGTGTCTTGCCCAAGGACACTTTGACACGTGGACTGCAGGCACCGAGAGTCGAACCTTCAACTTTCCGGCTGGGAAACAACTGCTCTACCCACTGCACCTTGATTAACAACTTGTCATGATTTGCAGTGACTCCTGACACATATGGGCCACCTGTCAGGAGTAGGACAGATTGTTTTGGCCGAGGTTTGGTCTGCATGCAAGCTTCGAGGCAGGTGTTGGTACATTCCCAGAGGCCTCTGTATTTTACATATTTCTAAAGGGTGAGGAAATAAAATTAGATTTTACATTTTCTGCAAGAGGTTCGCCAGTAATAATTGAGCAATCTTCTTGTCTCAGCATCAGAGCAGGCCTACCAAAATTTTAAGTGTCCTATGTCACGCAGCGCAGGGGAAGGAAATCTTACATAATCCTGGTGAAGATTTGTGTTTTGCAGGAACTGCCCACATTGTGTCCTGCAGTGTACAGTATGTGTATTATGCAATGGCAATTACTCACCCTTCAGTCATCCACAGTTACTGGGGATGAGGTTTACTGTTCCACTCTGCCCTCTCTTGACTTGCCACTGCCATCAAGTCATAAAACTGATTCATGTTACTTTGTCTACATGGAATTAATACACACTTTAAGACTGTAGCCCCATCATGTGGGTATGTTATGAAAGTAGCTTAAAGGGTGTAGTAGGGAGCCAAAGGTTGTATTTCAGTGTTGTCCCTAAGCTAAATATATCACATAAAAGTTAACCTTTTGAATTCAATAAAAATAACAGAAGGATTACATTTCTCACTGTGGATAAAATCTCAGTTTATACTTATAATATAATGTATGTATGTATGTATATATAATTCCCCACTTGCCCCCCACTTTGGGGCGGTCTTGTATTCCTACCTCTACCAGTCATATACGCAGTATATATATATGTAGATTGCATTTCTTTTGTCCCTATTCTCTTCCTGTTTTATTGCACCTACTGTATTTTCCTATTCTGAATTTGAATTTTATTCATTTTAATTTTTTTGTTGCCTTACAAAACATTGCGAACTTTTGTACTAGAGTGAAATTCCTTGTGTGTTTAAACATACTTGGCCAGTAAAGCCGATTCTGATATTAGAGTAAGAATTTCCTCAGATGGCTATCACTGCAATATAGTATTATATGTATCATGATAGAGGATTTTATCTATATCTCATACTTCTATCTGTGCCTTACTGATGCCCTTGGCTTGACATGCTAAAAATGTCTGCCACACAAAAGAACTGTAAGGACAAGAAATACAACCAAAGAAAGACTTCTCATTTTGTTTATAATGTTTTGTTGCACCCCGTGTCAGCTGGGATAGGCACCAGCACACAGTATAAATGTTAATATTAAACTCAGTCTTCTCCAGCCTGTAGCTGTGTGTTCTTCTCATGTGTCTGATGTTTATGAGTTGTTTGCAATTTCCTCTCTGAATCCTTGTGTTTAAGGCCCAAGGAGGTCAAAGCATTTCAGTATTTCACAAAACAAAGTGAAACTATCATCCAAAGTCCAAAACTGAAAACGAATTTGTGTATCAGAACTTTGTTTTTTCCCTCCCCCATTAATCATTTCATAACCCTTCAGATTACGTAGCTATAACAGTAGACGTCTGCTGAGTTACACTGGCTTCTACCAGTCACTGGGATGAAACAAGTACTTTTGCTCTGATAATTAAAGTAATTAATTATCTTATGCGTTTTTACTTAAGTATGATGTTTCATGCAGGTCTTTTAGGCTACTTTTAATATAATATTTTCATAGGCTTTATTGGTACTTTTACTTAAGTAAAAGAACCACTATACATTGTATGAATCTAGATGCAAGGATGTGTGTGAGAGAGTTTAAACAGGAGGCAGCAGTCATAGCTGCAATGCTCCCAGTAGGTGGCGGTAATGCGCCTTAAATCGGCTTGCAAACCGCCATCATCATAAGAAGAAGAAGAAGCTGCAGCTGCAGCTGCAGCTGCAGCTGCAGCTGCAGCTGCAGCTGCAGCTGCAGCTGCAGCTGCAGCTGCAGCTGCAGCTGCAGCTGCAATGTTGATTTTCAACAGCAGGTGGCAGCATTAAGCAAAGTTTTCATATTATTCTAGAAAGCGCTTTCTTCACGGACATCACTAGTTTTAGTCGTTAATCTCTATCTCTGCAAAATAACAGCTGACATACAGCCAAAACAGCAAATGAAAACAAACTGTGGTTTTATTTCAAGGTAACGGTATTATGATGGTTAAAAAGTGCGCTGAGAAGAGGGAAACACATCCGCCTACTTGCTAATGATAGCAGGTCTTGCGTTCTCCGCTATTTTGGCTCACAGCTCGGTCAGGCAGGCAGGCAGGCAGGCAGGCATGACGGAAGTCTGGGTGACACTTGCAGGAACCGTGTTATTGCGATAAAACGCTGTTGTACAAAAGAAGGCTGGAGGCGACATCGGGAAAGCTGGCAGCTTTATACAGAACACCGGTCCTCCCGGAGGACATGGAGATTTCGACGGAGGGAGAGGCGGAGGAGAGCAGGTGAGTGATAGCTGGGGCTGGGCTAACTAGCCTGGAAGCTGGGTTAAGAGTGACCGTGGTTAACGTTACATAAACGGCTAAACTAGAAATGGTATCACAGAGAACCCGCTTGTTGGCTAAACCAAGACGTTTGTAGTGGCATCTTAAATTGAGCCCCTGTAAAAATGTAAGCTAACGTTAGCAGTGGACTACAGACCCTGGCATTTAATTTAGCTGCAGTTATAGGCTAGGCTAAGACGACATGTCAAGATTTGACAGCTTTAAATCCAGTAACATTAGCAGTGCAGCTGCAAACTGTCACATCCAAACTGTCAAATTATGGATTTACTGCACGGAAGTTTGGTTGACGTAAAGCAATTCTTGTCCTTGTTGTTGTTATTATTAGTCGCTAGTACACTGACTAGCTAATAGTTAAGTGTTGACTGTCCCTTAGCTAGGCTGTGCTAACAGCTAGCTTAACAGGCTAGCTGTCAAATCAAGTTGACATTTGCACGTTGGCCGTCCCTCTTTTGTTGGTCAGAATTAATTTCACACATTAGTAACATAATTCAGAAGGCTGTCATTGCGATTTAAGTAATGGAATCATGAGTTATGCTCCTACAGACTAATAAGAGATAATTTGCTAACAACGCTATAATGTTTTTGATTGTGCTTTGAGTAAGTGCTGCACGGGTTTGCTGTAAAAATATAATTAAATGACCTTTTCTGTATGAATAATGAAGTTATGGTGTGCTTATTGATTTATTCTCGTTAGTGTGAGTATTTAATGCAGAAATGTCTGTATTTTTAGGACATTATAGGTAACGCAACACTGAAAAACAGGAAGATTACAGCTATTTACACTAATTGATAAAGGAGCACTGTCGGGAAGAAGGCCGCATCCAACTTAATTAAATAAAAATGACAGTATAACAATGTAAACACTCTTATAAGTAACAGTGTTTAGTTTGAAATCCTACTGAAGTAAATTAAGTATTAGCTATATGTACTAGAATATGAAAACTTAAGAGAAAAACTGCCCCTGTGAGAGAGATGTATAATAATAGGTTGCATTAGTGGTCATACCCCCATGCATAAGCAGCAATTTACTGTTGTAGCTGCTGGGGATGGAGCTACTGTAGGTTTAACTGTTAACTGGGGAAGTACTGCTGTTAGAGGGAGGGGTGGCAAATTAAGCTCAGCAGTGAGGCTACAGTATTCACCTTTAGTTCAGTGGTGGAGGGGACACTGTTAACAATATTTTTCTGTAAGTTTATGCATGTTTCATGGGTGTTTTGATAAATTGCTTATTTGCATTTTACTCACAAAGGTTCCATTTCATGTTCAGTAATGAGCATAGTTCAACCTGATTTCTTGTTCTCCTCCATGGCCTCTCGGCCTCTTGTATAGTCTGTTTGTGGAGAAGCAGAGCCCCGCCCATTGTCAAGCAGACAGAGATCAGAGGAGAATCATGATAACCACCAGATCCATATTTTTCAGTCTACTCTCACTCACTGGTGTCTTCAATGAAAAGCTCCCAGTCCATACAGATTGAGAACTGGTTTAGAACTTGCATCCCTAGGCACTCAGTCACTCACACCAGTGCACCCAAATAATTTTTCACATCAGCACACTAATTTTCACTTGCATATGTGAGTGGAGAAAAACGCCAGCACTGCAGAGCTATGTAAAAGTCAGATTGTATAAACAGCCTTGTCTTAAGGCTTGTACTGGTGAGGACACTCACTGACAAATGCATTTACCTTACTCTAATTTTTAACCATCACAACTAAAGTGTAAGTATTTAATTAATAAAGGGGAAGTGAGGTAGTGCCTATTTATCCTGGAATGATGTTACTGTGAACACATTTATTTTTGGCCAGCGCTACCAGCTAGTCATTGAGTTCGTAGATGAGTCACATCATTCTAACTAAAGTGCTGAACACTCAGTTTTTATTTCCGGGGGAAGTTGTTGTCCATGTGATGATTCAAGCTACAACATTGCTAACAACAGCACTTCTTTACCTCCTTCCTCATTTGGAAACTTCCTGCCTCACTCCTTCCTGCTGCTCTGTTTTCCTTCCAGGAGGGAGCACTGGAAGCTGCTGTCCAGTCTGAAGACCACAGTGGAGGGTCTGGTGTCCACTAACAACCCCAACGTGTGGTCACGCTATGGTGGCTTGCAGCGGCTCCACAAAGACATGAACAACATCCTCAGCCATGGACTGAAGAATGAGCAGGTCAGGAGATCTGGCTGACACCACCTTTCCTGTTTTATTATTTATCTTTTTTTGTGCAGTCTGGTAACAGATGGGATTATTGACTACAGCTCTGGCATTTGCAGGTCAAAGCTAGCTCTTGTTAAACTTTAGCCTTTGACTTTACATGGTTGGTCAATAGAAGTTGTTTCAGTGCAGCTTAACATGGATATTAGTGATTTTAGCTGTGTCCTATAACCCTGTCTAGTACAATAACATGATGAGACAACAAACTGCAGTATCGTTTGGCTCAGTATTTATACAGCTGCACACCACGTTGCGCAGGCAAATGATGGATTACAGCCATAAAAGCTAAGATGCATGTTACTGATAAAAAAAGATACAGAAGTAATTATTACTGGTAAACATAGACTGTAGCCAGTCTTAATGGGCATTATCTGTCATCATCGGTTGACCTCCACAAAATTCAGAGAATAATACTGAAACATGAGAAGCACTCCCTCGTCATAATGTAGTGTTTATCAAGGCCATAGTCTCTGTAATGGTCTTGTACTAACAACTGGCTTTGTGTTGCAGGTGTACTACAAGCAGAGAGACTACTGGCCATTTGTGTGGTGTGTTCGATATGCCAACCCTCACCTTGCCTCACATGTTGAACAGGTATGACCCCTGTCATCATCATGCGATTCATCGTTATCTTACTTTGTGCTGATGTTTTCCCACTCACAGCTTGCATCACACATGCTCAGGCCTGTCTTAACACAGGATATCTGCAGGCCTTCACAAGTCTTAAAACATACTTTTGATCGCCCACCATAGGCTCTTTGTTGTATGTAGTTGCATGTTGTCAGGAGATGTTACACATCCATCAACTTGGTGTGAGGAAGCTGTTAAATACATTTTTGAGTTTCACACCTGTAGCAAACTTTGTTGCTACAATAAGCTACAGTAGCTAGGAAGTGTATTATCTTGTTATCTGCAAATGTCATAAACTGAAATTAATTTTCATTCACTTTTTCCATTTCAGATGCATATTTAATTGATTAATGCATCCTTCAGTTTTCTGCCACTTACTTGGGTCTAAATCACACTAATGAATTAATTATATTACTACAAATTACTGTGACAATTACTTGTTTCTTCCTCTGCCTGTCCTCAGTTCAGTCACCTGGAGCCAGTGTTGAGCAGTGGGTTGCAGAGTGCAGGTGAAAGCTACAAGGCTGAACGCTGGCTGCTTCACAGCTTGCAGGTACACATGTTGTCAGCTCAGCTCCGACCTCTGCTCAGGCATCTGGGACATACACGGAAATATTACAATGGTGAGTGGTCCAGTTTAATATATATCACATATAAGTAACTGTTATTTATTGTAATCTGAAGTAAGTAGCAGCTAAAATCACTTTTCTGTTCCCCAACTCCCTCTTCCTGGGAAGAGTAGCTGATGTCATTACATCAGCTAATGGGGATCATTTTAATAAAATGTTGTCTGTTATTGTCCTGTGCAAATTTCTCTCCTGTCTTATGTTTTTATTTTGAGTCTTTACTTGTGCTCTGCTCTTATCTCTCTCTTTATCGCTCTTTGACTCCTCCTCATTTTTTGCTCCTTGTCACAATCTCTGTCTGTCAGATGATGCCTTTCTGATGAGCGAGCCACATGTGATTGCCATGTTCCAGTGTCTAGAAGCTGTGGAGCAGAACAACCCCAAACTGCTGGCCCAAGTAGACACTGTTGGGGTGGGTCTTGTGAAATGATTTAAATGCTATAGCCATGATGTCTGTTTACATGATCTTAATCTTGTTTGCCATAACTTTGTTTTTCTCCTTTTGTGTATTTGTTTGTGATTTTTGGTGTGGTGCTACGATCTGTGGTATTTCTCATTTACAAAATTTCTCTGTCTTTTGTGTTTCTGACATGTGGTTTATCACTGTGTTGTAATGTAGTATGTTTTATTATTGTGATTTTTTTTTTTGTTAGGTATTTATTTTAAGTTGAAGCAAAATCCGAAACGTGTACAAGTGCACCCAGTGTTGGTACCTAGGTAGTTGTAAAACACAAAAAATCGTGCTGCATTAAGTGGGTTGCGTGCGTGTAGTGGAGGGTGTCAAACTCCCTGTGTACAGTCAAAACCCCAGCAGTCATGTCATTACATTGGCATGTAGGCCTGGTGTGTGCAAGTCATTTTTTTGAAACTGCACACAAGAGTACGTGAGTCCTTGCCAGTGATTGGCTCTGTAGTATCATGTGACCAGAGCATCATATCTAAACTACAGGCATACTGTTAGAAATTGCTTGAAAATACTTCTCATCATCTTTGAGGCACATCGTTTTTGTGTGTTTAATGAAGTTCTTCATGTTTAATGAACTTTAATGATCTTCTGTCCACGTCTAGTTTAGAGGGCCATCATCCTGGCATACAGTAAATGCCACAAATGCAACAGGTCCACTTCCTCCTCATCATCCAGAATTTAATTTCGTCTACAGTGCTGAAGTGCAGTGGAAACTCCGCAAAGCCTTCCACTGCGAGTTTGAACACATAATGATTGGTGTTATTTTTCAGCCATATCAAAATTTTTTAGAGGGCCATTCAGAACGAAAAGTGACTTTTAAAATGATGGTGTGTGTTATAAGGAGAAGAACTGGGACAAGGCCTTACGTTTTTTATGTCCTCTCCTTTCACCCTCCAGCTGTCCCCACTGAAGGGCCTTTTGAAGAGCCAGAGCTTGTGCGTGTTGCCTGGGGCCTGGAGGAATGCTGACTTAGCCCCCGGAGGAGACCCTCTAAACCGCAGACTCACCACGTCCAGCTGCTCCCTACGAGAACCAGTCTCTTCCAGCCATAACTCTGGGAACACTATGGGAGTCGGACCCCAAAACAGGAGCAACACAAGTGAGGAAAAGCCGAAAGGTGACAAGTGTAGGTTCGATAAGAGTTTTTGGGGTGTCGGGTTCATGTTGTGGTTTTTTTTTTGAGGTTGTACATTCAGTGGAGCAAATGAGGACAAAATGGTGTCTATTCTATATTGACTACATACAAGTATCCAGGGAGTGGAGACAGGGGATGGTACTATGAATGTGCCACAGTCTGTATGTGAATAGACTGACTGACTGAAACTTACAGAGGCTTGATTGTTTGTGAACATCAGCAGCTACTGAAGAATGTGTTGACGCACCCTCCAAAGTTCCATGTCCTGTGCTCACTAAAGTGGATAAAACCAATGTGGGCATAATATTTTTACATTTTAAAAGTGTAATAAGACAGTCAGTGAGGAGTCAGTTCATTTTTATTTATAGGGCCCAAACTCACAAATTTGCTTCTATGGGCTTTACAATCAGTATATCATATACAGTGCTTTTGTTCTTAGACACTCATTTATGATAGAGAAAATTCCAAAAAAACATTGTAATTGGGGGAAAAAAGGAAGGAGGAATCACTCTTACATGACAGACATGCAAATAGTAGACAATAACAAAAGTAAATTACAATATGGAAAACATAGTTTAAACTAACCCTTGTCAATTCTCTATCAACAAACTGAGTAGTGATATAGTTCTGGAGAATGATTTTTAAAAAGCATGTCTCGGCTCACCTTATCATATCTACCTGTTGTGTTGCAGACACTACCTCTCTGTCCAGCACTCTGGGAGCTCCCTGGGTGTATGTGTCTAGGCCAGGGGACAGTGAACAGGGTGTGACACCCTATTCTGGCCCTGTCTCAGCCCCTTGCACCTCCCTAACAGAGTCCCCCACACCCATCTCCGTTCAGCCAGAGGCCGGGGACTCTGCTGACGGTGACTATGACGATGGTCCAGAGTACCTGGCTATTGGTAACTTGGGACAACATAGTCGCCGTGACTCCAGAAGCTCCAGCCACAGCAGTGAGCAGGGCAACACCCAGGACCAGTGCCTACAAAGGAGGTCCCAGGCTCCATCCACAACCAGACGCTCATCTTTTTCAGAGGGCCAGAGAGGCCCTATGAGGGGGACCCGAGGACACATCCGCTCATTTTCTGACACAGGGCTCAATCATAAACTCAGGAGTGGTAAGTAAACTCTGTGTTGTTGTATTGGATTAAAAAGGTTGAATTTAGGTGTCTTTGCCAAGGAACTATTTTTCTATGAATTCATGATTAATCATTCATAATCAGTAATTAAAGTAATCCATAGCTTTCTGCATATTAAAGGTATAGTCAGTGATTCTGATTCATTACACATTTTGTCATATTCAGCTGAAGTTTCCTCACATTTCCCTGCCTCGCCTTTCAGTTTGTGTACTCCGCAAACCCCAGGTGGCAGTGTGCTGTGCTGGCTGTAATAGGTGAAAAAAGGATCGGAGTTGGGCCAGCTCATTTGAGCCAATCAGTTTTTTAGCCTAGACAGCTAAATAACCATTAAAGAAAGGCAGAAGCACAAAAATCTTTTTGATAAGAAGGACTATATCGTTAATCAGGCAAAGTTGGAGACACAGCCACCTTTTGCTTTCCAGAGATGGAGAGCTCTGGGATTTAAAAAGGATGAAGACGACACAGAGGTCGCCATCCTTCTGCTGGCCAGGCGGGTCAGTTATTTGCTATATGCCACTGAACATTGTTATGGTAATAGGCTAATCTTTGTGGTAACGTTAATATTACGTTAGCAAATTGGGCATTATCCGTGCCACATTAGCCTGTTTGCTCAATCAACCTTTCCTGTAACATTCAGCAAAATTCCTAATTTGCAAATATATGTGATTGTTCTGACTTCAGCTATAGCAGCTGAAGATTGTTGTGAGAGAATAACACTAGAGTTTGCAGCTGTTAGCCACACGTTGTGCCCCAGTTGCTAGTATTCTGATGTCTCCTTTGGCATCTTCTCCCAGACACTAGTAATATCGCCATGTCGCTCATTAATTATGAGTGACATGGTTACAGGCTCCTAACTGAAATGATTTGTGTTCATGGTAAAATATAAAACTTTTACCAGAATCACTGATTATACCTTTAAAACGGCAGCACACAGAGTATCTAGGCCAGTTTACCTTGTTGTTGCTATGGTCGTGTTGTAGACAGACCTTCATAGATGTTTATGTGAATATAGTATTGCATATTTTTGCATAAAATAGAAATGTGGCTAGACCACGTTCTTTCTGGGAAGGTGCACACTTCTGGCTGAAGGTTTTAAATGCTTCCCACTCTACTCTCTCTGCTCATTGTTTCTCCTTTGTGGCTTGGGGTAACTTTCTCTTTCTGCTCTGCCTTGTTTCTTTTGCTCTTTTTACTACTATTTGTGCGAAGGAGGGGGCCACCGAAAAATCACCATAATAATAGAAGATCCAGTAGCAGGTTGGCACTGCAGAATCACTGTACTCCATCACTTGACTCTTCCCACCCCCCTTTATTTCTATGCATGGTGATGAACTCCCTCTCATTCTCAGTCTTCCTTTCAGCTCATGATATGTGCTTTTATTCTTTGTGGCTCTTTTGTTTTAGTTGTTGCTGTATTGTTTTTATTTAGTTCAGACTTTCAGTGTTGTCCATTTTTGTTCATGCACTGTCTTGACCATCAGTGTGTCGTTGAAAGCATCATGAAGTGTTCAAATGTTCATTTAATTAGTTTTTCTAGTGATGTCCTGGATGGAGTACTAGCATCTTTATTGAGAATTTTTCCAATACTTTCCAATAATGTAAGTCCATGCCAAAGACACAAGCCTACGCATAGAAGTGTATCTGAAATTTTTGTCTGCGGGCAGAACATTGAATGTCTAATATAATTACCAGCTGTCATTGTGCTGGCAACAGTCAACGTTCACCTGTCATATATATACTTTTTTTTTTTCTACATACAGTAAAATGAGCCATCTCCACAGATTTACTTGATTGTTTTGACACAGTGTTTAACCAGTTGCTTTTCCTGCTCTGGGTATGAATGATGATGCATGTTCCCATAAATTTTTAAGGATTAAGTAGTGATTTAAGTGACTCTGACATTTAATATAAGAAGCCCTTAATATGGACCGTTTGCCTCTTAGAATCGACAGGGGATGACTGCTCTATGAAAGCCTACAGCCCTTTCTCACCTCACTGCAGTGATGCCAGCACCTCCAGTTCTCTCTACACTGAGTCTTGTGAGTTTTCTGGTACTATGTTTGCAATACCTCATAATGCCGTTTTTACAGATACATTTTAGCTGGTGAATGTAGAATGAGAACACTATTAGGAAAACCTGCTGCTTCTGCCTTCTTTCAAGTTTCAACTCAGTTGCTCCTACAACTGGCTTTTAAAGGTGGATTCTGTATAAAATTATTATATATTGCTTATTAATAAAACTTAAACCAAATTATTTGTAACAGACATGTACATATTAAAACAAAATGTCTTTTTTTCTTTTCTTTTTTTTGTCACTGATCATGTGCTTTTATCCAGTGATTGCTTAGATCTCAGCCAGAGAAAGTCCAGTGCAAACTAAAACTGTTCTTATGTATTAAAGCTCAGTTGTGTATGTTTTGGTTGCTTCAGATGGGTCCCAGTACAGCACTGTGCCAGATGGGATGTTCAGGAAGCCGTCAGAGGGCCAGAGCCTCATCAGCTACCTGTCAGAGCAGGACTTTGGCAGCTGTGCTGACCTTGAAAAGGTAAGACCTTGGACCATGTTAATTTATGGCTGATGACAACTAGTGTTCTTTCATTTAGTCAAATGCACTTTTAATGGAAATTGGTATAAAGTGCTTTACTAATGCAATTTTGATTTGAAGAGCCCAGTACTGAACTTGTAAAAATCTAAATCAAAATTCTAAAAAAAGTTGAAATTGTTGTCTGTAGAATGGGTCAACCATTGGAGTTTGTCTTCTCCCCTGTGTCACTTTTCTGTCTTCTGTAGGAGAATGCTCATTTCAGAATTTCTGAGTCCCTTATTGCCGCCATCGAACTAATGAAGTACAACCTGCGGCGTCAGGAGGAGGAGGGCGAGGAGGAGGGAGACAGCGACTGTGAAATTCAGCAGCTCAAGCAGAAGATCCGTCTGCGGAGGCAGCAAATCCGCCGCAACCGGCTGCCGCCCTGTGCCACCTCCCAGCATGGTAAGCCAGCATTAACAGTGTGGTGTTGTTGGATGAAACAGGTCTGTAGAGATACATGATGTTTTCTTAGTGTGATTCTTGGTTAACAAAGACACTTGTACTGATTATTTGCTATTTTATGGTCTTTTATTGCTGAAGAAGCTTCTTGTTATTAGATTAAAAAAAAGATAAATCTCACAAATATACATTGATCTTTTAATAAGCACTAGATTTTAAGAAACACAGCTCTATGAAATAATGCTTAGTAATATGATACTATAAAATGTTTTCTTGATAAGTCATATTGAAAAGAAATGGGTTTAAAATGTACACAATAACTGTGTAGATCATGTTAGAAAAGGCAGCAGGTTTATACAACAGTGCAGCAGCTGGTCTCACGCTCAGCTCTTACTTAAATTCAACCAGCTTCAAAAAGTTTGCCTCACAGGCATTATAGTATAAACAGTATTTTGTGTATATTGTTATCTACTTCTGTTGATTTCTGTTGTTCTTTAGTCTCAAGTCTTTGTCTCGTCTCCTTTCTCTCCTGCAGTTTTTCACTCCACTGACAGCGGAGGCTCCAGGAGGAGCTCCCAAGACTCCTGCCAGGGCCTGTCTGACTCAGGATCAGCCGAAGAGGTGGAGGAGTGCGAACTAAAAGGTAGAGAGAGGGAATGAGGGATCACCAGGAGGAGAAATGTGTATCATTAGTTTTAGTTCAGTCGAGTATCACAGTAACAGATCAGTATGACCAAACATTCTCACTCTATTTGACTGCATGTTTTATGTTGTCAGCTTATCCAGCATCATTTTACTCAACAGTTTATCTAACTACATGAACACATTTGTTTCTGTTCCTGTCATAATTCATAACATCACCATAACATCACCACACCATCTTCATATTTCACTGAGCATGTCATATTTATCATGGACCATAAGCATGTAGGTCTGAGGTACAAAACTCAGGCTGGTAGTGTTTGTAGGGTAGGATGATTTTATTCGTGTTGCTAATAATACAGACATTACATTCATGAGCTTGCATTTTTAGGATTTACTGTAAATGGTTATCTAATTTTAAAGGGTGTGGTTGGTGTCGGAAAGCTTCTGTTTATCTGGGCTGCAATTTTGAAATGTGAAACTTAGTTAGGACAGTAGATGTCAAATGCTGTGTTGTTTGACTAAAGCAATCATGAGATTAATCACTAACGTACAGAAATATTGGTATGGAACATGAAAAGCTTTGATACTATTAACATAGGTTGTGGCACTCTATGTGTGCATGTTAATGGGTTGTACAATATATTTGTGTTAACATGTTTCACTGTGTTTGTGTGTAACTACACTATCTTGGAGCTATATAACTGCACGACTTCCACATGTCTGGTATCAGTGCAGTGTGTGCTGTTATCATACCTGTGGTGATGGTTGTGCTCAGTGTTAGTTTCTGTCTCTCAGATGGCTGTGAGGGTCAGTCCCTGCTGGTGGTATCTCAGAACGGCCTCTCCCTGTCACTCGCCTCCCTCTTCTCAGGTATCTGCAGGCCGGATGTATGGGCGAGACTCCACAGGCTGTGTATTGTGGTGGTGCTCCTCTGAGAGGAAGCTGACGGCTCCACTCCAAATCGAGGATTTCTGTCTTTGATCCCACCTGCTAAAATTGATGGTGCTGCAGCCTTAACTATAACAAGTTACTATATGCTTTATCAATCAATCCGGTCTTTATTTATATAGAGCTGTTAATCAAATACATTAGACAAAATGTTTCACAAATCAGTTAACATGGACCATAAAAATGAAAAGATGCTTCACCATGGGTTTCGTTCTGATGTTACGTGAATATAAAAGGCATCTACCAGTAGACCTGAGGGTTAGAAGAAGGCTCATAGACATTAAGAAAATCTGATATCCAAGTAGGACCAAGACCGTTAAGAGCTTTATAAGTCAACAAGAGAATTTTAAAATCCATTTTGTGACAAACAGGTAGTCAATATAACGGCTTTATGATTAGTGAATTATGTGCTCATTGCATATTTTGGTCTTCATTCAATCACATTTGATTGTTTCTGTCCAAATCCGTGAAGAAAACTGCTCTTAGTACAGTTAAGTCAACCCTAAAACTTTCTGATTGATTTTATAAGCGTCAAATCATTAAAAACATCTTTTTCACATTAAAATTCTTTTTATAAAATCTCTCTATTGTCACCTTTCACTCTTGTTTTTGCAGTTTTGTTTATACTTGCACAAAGTCATGCAGTACCTTTTTTTTGGAAAGAAGAGGGGGTGTTCAGCTCATCTAATACCCAAACTTCTAAGATGGGAATCAACACCACTGTTAGAACCGATCCTTCAGCGAAATCAATATGAAGTTGCCTATAAAAATGTTCAACTGTTTGTTTGAAAAAGTCACGGTAGCTGTTGTACTCGGTGGCCATATTATCCAGATAAAGTTTATTTCAGTATGCTGCAGAAAATCTTGTAAAGTCAGGTGCGGAACTCCATAAATGTTCAGTTTGGAGTCGAGCCAGCTGCCTCCTCACCTCAGTTGAACTGTGTGCTTAGCTGTTTGTGCTGGTGCTTGTTACTCAGTGTGCCAGGGTTTTGGTGGTGTGGGAGGACAAATGTGCCCGTACATGTTTGGTTTTATCGAGGCTCAAGAGCGAAGACGAGTGAGTTAACAAGTGGTATCCTGTGGCGTCTAACTACAGTTTATTCACTCATTCATTTCATCTACTGTATATATTCCACTATTCATTATCTCCAACACAGTCCCGTGAGAACTGAGGTGTGATTGCTGTCACGTACACATTCCGGTGCCAGTTGTCCCTCTGGATTCTGTTTTTTGTGATCACTTATAAGGCCCGACATAGCTCGGGATTTTGGCTGTGGTAGTGTTGCGATACTGACTTTGTTAAATGATGCATTTTTCATTTATATTGGGCTGTTTGCTGACATTATCTGTGGATGCTGCTGCCTGGCCTGATATCGCCAGATGATCAACACTTAATTGCATCTCTTTACCAAAATAACTTCAATGAAATTCTTTAACCTAATCATAACCAAAAAGATCTGAATCTGAATTAATCTTGCCTCACGCCAGTGTGATTAAATATTCCTCCTAATCTCACCCAGCCTCTGTGTTGCAATTGCACCTCACTTCTCTGGACACAGAATTACCAAAGGTCAATCTGTGTCTTGTGCTTTTACAAATAAGGCCAAAGAAATCAGACGTACTGTGATTGTAGTCAGATGACCTTCATGCACTACTGGGCCATTCTGACTAGTCTTTATGTAACAGTAACCTCATTTTACATCTTTTGATTGATCATTCCAATATAAAGTATTTCTGTACCTAAACAACAAAAGCCATCTGTTGCTTCCTGCTGCTGGCTGACTTGCTTCGTACCTCTGCTGCTCTGTAGCAACTTTTGCTATCCAGACGGACTCTGAAGCGAACCAGTGTCTTGCGTGAACAAATAAGAATGTTGAACCTCTTTCAGAATGAATCTTTTATGCTGATAGAAGAGTTCATTCTCCTGCCAAACCTGCACTGCTTGAAGTCTTGTGCTGTTATGGTAGTATTGCTTCTCCTGTAGATGTTGTTTGTGAAGTGTTATTGCTACTCTCCCGCTGAGTCTCTTTGGCTTTCCTGAATGCAGCCTGCTACATTATGCTTCAGTTCAATTAGAAGTGTGACTTTTGGTTTTTCAGGGAATTTCAGTTAGCTGTTTTTCAAGGGATATTGTCTTCCTGGATTTGTCTTACTTTTGTATCCCTGATCACATCTCTCTCAAATAACTTCATCTCACAGCATTGAATGCTGCTTAGCTGTAGCAAATTGAGCTATTTCTCTTGTGCTGGTATTTAACACTAGCTGTTTGCTGGTACTTTTTTTGTCAAGTCATCAATCATGTGTTGACTCTTATTCACTATACAAATCAGAACATTTGGATTTTATTGCATAGTTGCTAATCATCCCTTTGCCTCTGTGGCTGGTGGATAAAAAAGGTTTTCTTATGCTCGTGGCTGTCTGCTCCTTAGTGTTCAGTTCTCTATATTATTTTACTGTTGTTGCCCTCTAGATGCAGACATAAAGCGCAGTGTGAGCTCCAGCAGCCAGTCTTTTCTCAGCTCAGAGTCCATGTACCGGTAAGTAACACAGACATTTAATGCTTTCTGCTGATATTTTTATGCTTCTCTGTCAGAGGCTTTATGTTTTCAGGTTGTCTCTCTGTCTGTCTTATTCTCATGGATGTGATATTTCAGGAACGCCTTGGGAATTTCTTCGCATTAGATATATATATATATAGATATATATATATCTGTCTGGGACTCAAGGATGAGTTGATTAGATTTTGGTGGTCACATGTCAAGGCCACTGTGACCTCACATTCATCCCAATCTTGTGAACGGCTTATCTTAGTAATGATGTGACAAAGCTCTCTGTCACTCCTCTGTAAAAATAGTTTCAATGTGAAGACATGTTTCTCCCTAGAATTGTACCCATCAGTATAGTAACTTCCATTTTGCCCCACCCAAATACACTATTTTTTAATTAAATTCTTTCACAGTTTTCGCTACATATTATAAGGATCTGGCCTGACACGCATGTAAAATGCAGCTTGACAGGTTGGCATAAAACTGAAGTAGTAATTTGTTAAGAATCTAAATAACTGTTACTTAAATGAATCCCATCAAAAATTGCTCACTGGTAAAAAAAAAATTCCCAAGACCTTCCCCCAGGGACTTTTCCAATTTTAGTGGTAATATGAACCATGCTGAGGATTTTACTGTGTGTCAGCTCTGTGTATTTGTTGACAGCAGAAAAAGTTAGTTTAAAAATGGTATTTTTTATAATCTGTTGTCTCCTCTGTGTTGTCAGCTCTCCATCCTTCCTGCAGTCTAACTCTGCTGAGTCAGTAGCGATGGGCTTGCTCAGGCAGTTTGAGGGCATGCAGCTTCCGGCAGCCTCAGAGCTCGACTGGCTGGTCCCAGAACATGACGCTCCACAGAAGGTACAACATCTTGCTTACATACTGTTTACTACTTAGCAGAATTCAGTTCTTCACAAGAGGCACTCAACATGCCAAAGCTAATATAAGTTTGAAAAAAACTTGACTTGCACTATGTAACACTTTTGTTAAACATAGTTGCTGTGATTCACACACATTAGGAGAACAAATTTAATCTCCTCTTTGTTGTTTCTCAGCTGCTGCCCATGCCTGACTCTCTGCCGATCTCACCTGACGACGGTGAACATGCAGACATCTACAAGCTGAGGATTCGAGTCCGTGGCAACCTGGAGTGGGCGCCGCCCCGACCTCAGATCATCTTCAACATTCATCCTGCCCCCAAGTGAGTCCACACCAGGCATCACCGTCCCTCACTGATGTTCTTGCTTTATTTTTGTTCTTTATTTTGTTCATCTGTTTTTGTTTTTATCTGCCATTCACATCTTGTTGTTTGCTGTGGCATTCTGCTTTCTGATTTTGCCACCATGTCAAATGCAGCTTAAAAAAAGGAAGCCTTCCAAATAGGCACAGGGAGAACACCTTCCTTTAAATAATGGAAACGTATATATTTTTTGTTGCTTATATTGAACTAGTCAGCAAGAACACACACAGACTAAAAGACCAACATAAGTGACTGTAATCTGACATGTTTTAAGATGAAGCTTTTCTGGTAAATTGCTTTCAACTGTTCTTGGTGGTGTTTGTGCTTTTACCATAAAAGTGTTGACGTTCACAAATATCAATCTAATTGGCCTTTAAACCCATTAGCTATTTCCATATTTATAGTGTATATTAGGTTTTATTGCTGTTAATAAAGTTTAGCCTACTGTCCTCACTCTGTCCTACAAAATGTTTTACACATTGTCTTTCTGTCAGGAGGAAGATAATTGTGGCTAAACAAAACTACCGCTGTGCTGGCTGTGGCACCCGCATTGACCCAGGTATGAGCAGAAAACCCAGAAATACTTCTGTAGAACCAGCAGTGATGAAAATGTTTATTTTTCTTGTTCTTGAAATGTTTGTGAGACATTTAAGTTGCATACATTTGAAAATGGTCCCACCAGTCACAACTCTGAGTGCCCACTTACATTTACACTTGTACAGTTTCTTGTTTTTATTTTAATTTCATGAACAGAAGTGCAACTCAAAGTCTTTTTAGAACTGGTGTAAAACTTTTTATTTTCCATTGATACTTCCCTTTATCAGTAGAAAGGCTATTTAGAGACACTTCCACTTACAGTCTCAAACACAGTGTCCATTGCAAATTCTACCTTGTTTGTATTTCTGTTTTCTCATCCCACCCCAGACTATATTAAGCGACTACGTTACTGTGAATACCTTGGCCGTTACTTCTGCCAGTGCTGCCATGAGAATGCACAGGCGGTGGTTCCTGGTCGAGTGCTGAGGAAGTGGGACTTCAGCAAGTACTATGTCAGCAACTTTTCCCGGGACCTGCTGAGCAAGATCGCTGGAGACCCTCTGTTCAACCCTCATGACATCAACAGTGGCCTGTACAAGAAGATCAAAGCTCTGGAGGCTGTCAGGGTGAGCACAGGCCTGGCAGCGAGATGGAAAACTAGGCATTAACCAGATGGTTACAGATTTTATCTAATTATTTTTACCAGTAAGTGTGGTGGAATTGCCACCATAATAACCAGTTTCAATTCTGTTTATAGATTAGCTTATAAAATGGTGTAATGTAAACAGCGACTGTTAATCATTTGCTTAAAGTACTACGGTTATCAGGAAGGGAAAGCAGAATGAATAGAGCCATTCATGTCACTGACAGCTACCATAAAGATGATGCTAATAAAAAGGAACTTGGCTTCTAAACGTGTGTTAGTTGCTGCTCGGTGGCCAACAGCCGTACAAGAATGTCTCCAACACACCACCTGAAGTATTTTTAAATGGCAAACCTTCCAAAGCAGTGACGTGAGAACCGTGTTCTTTGTACTTTCGGTTATACAATATACCGCTGCTATGTAGTCTATGTGTTTTTATAAAGGCATCAAAATTATTTTCAATAGTGTGATCAAGTGATGGTAGGTAGGTAGAACTTTATTGATCCCACAGTGGGGAAATTCCAGTGCTCCAGCAGCAGTAAAGGACAAAACAACATGACACCATAAGAGTAAACACCCCACACATATCGTGAGAAAACAAGATCCAGGTACCCGAAAAACCAAACAAAAATATAGTATTTCAGAGACAATCAAGAACAAGAATAGACCTCCCACAATTTGTCTCTGAGACACAAGTCTGACATGATGTGATTAAGAGCTAAATAAAAATTAACCTCTTTTAATGGATTAAAAAAAAAAAAATATATATA